TGTGTGTTGCTGTCCCTTGGCTCCTCAAAAGCCCCTCCAAAGCGGCAGAGGACAGGCTGTGTCCCCTGGGTCTGCCCCCGTGGGTGGGCTGGGGGCCGGGACGAGCCCGCACAGCGTTCAGAGCGATGTGAAATTGTGACCGGGGCTGAACTTTTTTTGTGCAGCAGCTCCATCGTGATTGCAGTAACGTGAAATGTGTCCAGCTGCCTCTCCATCCTCCTTCGGCGCTCTGACGTGCGGGGTTCACGGGGCAGTGTCCCCGTCCCCCTGTGCTGGGGCAGTGGGGGGGCACTGGGGTGCCAGCAGGTCCAGGGCACCGAGGGGCTCTGGGGTTCGGGGGGGTCACGCCAGCCCTTTGCCTTGCTTTTCTTCAACCCTGTCTCTTGGATGAAGTTTGTGGGAAAGAGCAGCGAGAGGAAGGCAACTGGCTTTGGGCAAGGCTGTACGGATCAGGTGATATTCGGAGCGTCACACGCACTGGGAGGCACGGCTTGCAGGGAGCGACGCCGAGAGCCGTGGGGAGCAGCCCTTGTTTTCCCACCCAAAGGGTCCCAGTGTTGCTTTTCATCTGGGTTGAGCTTCGGAGTGGCTGGAGCCAGGATTGCTGTCTTGGAATCTGTGCTTAGGAAGTGAGATCAGAAGGGGACCACAGCAGAGCTCACTGCAGTTTGGACTCCTGCCCAGAAGTGAAACTGAGGGGCAGGAACACAAAGCGCTCAGAGGAAACGACTGCGTATTTAGAGGCGTAAACTCTTTCTAGTAACGTTATAAAAAAGCTTGTTAAATTCTAGTGTTAAGCAGTGTTTATCCTTTTGGCAGGAAGAGTGCAGGAGGGAGAGGGGCGCAGTGGGAAATGTCACCGAAAAGTCTGCTGCAGTGGGAGCCTGAAAGCTCTGGGCACTTGATCCTTTCCCAAACAAAAGCAAACAAAAAAAAAAGTAACGAGAACTTGGTTAACTCTTTAGTCAACAGGGTTCTTCTAAAGAGTAAAGAAGAGATAAGGGCAGAACAGAGTTAACTTCCACCACCCTTTTATTGCAGTTGTGTTATGTGAGCTCTTGCTCTGGGGGGGGGAGTAGTTCCTGGTAAGCGTCCCTGAACAAAAGAGCGGGCTGGGAGAAGCCTCTGCCAGTGTGACCTCTGCAGTCAGGACAGTTCCCGAGCCCTGGGAGGCCAGGGCCTTCCATCCACGCGCAGAGGGGGTGGCACCACGGGTCGGGTCGATGTCCTTCACGGCTGGGGAGGGGGAGCCT